GAGCCTCCAGCCTCGGCCTCCCAGAGTGCTGGGATGACAGGTGGGAGCCTCCGAGCCCGGCCATATGATCAAGGAAGGTCTTGCTGTGGGGTCCCATGTCTCCCTAGACTCGGGTCACAGTGACATCCAGAGGAGACTTTGGGATCCAGGCGTTGAAGGAAACTGGCATTTCCCTTTTACGCCTTGTTCGGTATTTTCCCGTGTATTTTTTTTCTTTTTTCTTTGTTTTTTCATTTTATTTTCATCCCCTATTTTCGTTCTTTTTGTTTGTTTTTTCATCCCATCTATTTTTTTCTTTTTTTGGTTTCTGTTTTCATTTTTTTACCCATCTATTTTTTTTTTCATTTTTTTATCCCATCAATTTTTTTTTGTTCTTTTTCATCTCGTCTATTTTTTTTCTTTTTTCATTTTTTATCCCCTTTTTCTTTTTGTTTTTTTTGTTTCTTTTTTCATTTATTTTTCATCCCGTCTATTTTTTTTTTCATTATTCCATCCTGTTTTTTTCTTTTTTTGTTTTTTCATTTTTTTCATCCCGTCTATTTTTTTTTCTTTTTCTTCGTTTGTTTTTTCATCTCCTATCTATTTTTTTTATTTTTCATGAACCTGCATCAAAATCTCCCCTAATACACTAAGGACACGTTACTGTACTTGTCGCTCAATGTGTCTCTGCTGTTCAGATTTTAAAACGTCCCTCTGAGTCCCCACGAGCCATGAGGTCGGTGGGATGGTGGCGTCCCGGGTGGTGGGCCTCAACATGGGAGGCTGGCCTCAACCAACCAGCCTCCAGACTTGGTCAGCTGGCCTCAACACGGGAGGCTGGCCTCTACTAACCAGCCTCCAGAATGGGTCGGCCCATGGGGTCTCGCTCTTGCTCAGGCTGGCCTCGAACTCCTGACCTCGAGCGATCCTCCTGCCTCAGCCTCCCGAGTAGCTGGGACTACAGGCATGCGCCACCATGCCCGGCTAATTTTTTCTATATATATTAGTTGGCCAATTAATTTCTTTCTATTTATAGTAGAGACGGGGTCTCGCTCTTGCTCAGGCTGGTCTCGAACTCCTGACCTCGAGCGATCCTCCCGCCTCGGCCTCCCAGAGTGCTGTGATTACATGGATGAGCCTCCACGCCCGGCTCATTTTTTCTTCTATATATTTTTAGTCATCCAGCTCATTTCTTTCTATTTTTTTTTTTTAGTAGAGACGGGGTCTCGCTCTTGCTCAGGCTGGCCTCCACCTCCTGACCTGGAGCGAGCCTCCCACCTCGGCCTCCTCGAAGACTGCTGGGATGACAGCCGTGAGCCTCCGCGCCCGGCTCATTTTTTCTTATATACATATAGTTTTACTTGGCCAATTCATTTCTTTCTATTTTTAGTAGAGACGGGGTCTCGCTCTTGCTCAGGCTGGCCTCCACCTCCTGACCTGGAGCGAGCCTCCCACCTCGGCCTCCTCGAAGACTGCTGGGATGACAGCCGTGAGCCTCCGCGCCCGGCCTCCTTCTCCTTCTGATGGTGACATGGGAATGTCGGTTGAGGCCTCCACTGGGGACAGGCCGTGGTCCCTGCTCTCGCGTTGTCCCCAGTTATTCTCGCAGCCTCGGTTAAACGAACAACGTGCAAAATCCTGTCACCCCCATTTCCCGCTGGTGGAAACTGAGGCTCAGACATGGAGGAAGCTCGGAGTGTCATTTGTGCCGGGCTCCCCGCTGCCTGTCCCCTGATGGGACAGGTGGAGGGACAAGCCCAGCAAGAGAGGGTGGTCTGGAGTGAAGGGAGGAGTGAGGATTTGAACCCTGGCCTCCCGGACTCCCTTTGGCCTCAGTAGCGAGGAGGGTTTGTTTGAGCTGGGTCAAGTGAGGTGCGGGGACTCAGGTGCTCGAGAATCGTCTCAGGGCCGAGCGCGGAGGCTCACGCCTGTCGCCCCGGCACTCTGGGAGGCCGAGGCGGGAGGCTTGCTCGAGGTCAGGAGGTCGAGGCCGGCCTGAGCAAGAGCGAGACCCCGTCTCTAGTAAAATTAGAAAGAAATTAATTGGCCAACTTATGTAGAAAAAATGAGTCGGGCGTGGTGGCGCACGCCTGTCATCCCAACACTCTGGGAGGGAGGCCGAGGAGGGAGGCTCGCTCGAGGTCAGGAGTTGGAGGCCAGCCTGAGCAACAGCGAGACCCAGTCTCTACTATAAATAGAAAGAAGTTAGCCAGACAAAAATAATAATAAATTAAAAAATATATATATATAAATTAGACTGGAAAAGTGTTGTATTCTTGTCGTACCAGCACTCTGGGAGGCCGAGGAGGGAGGATCGCTCGAGGTCAGGAGTTCGAAACCAGCCTGAGCAAGAGCGAGACCCCGTCTCTACTAAAAATAGAAAGAAATTAATTGGCCAACTAATATATATAGAAAAAAAATGAGCCGGGCGTGGAGGCGCATGCCTGTAGTCCCAGCTACTCGGGAGGGAGGCCGAGGCGGGAGGCTCGGTGGAGGCCAGGAGGTGGAGGCTGCTGTGAGCGAGGCTGACACCACGCCACGCCACTCACTCCAGCCCGGGCGACAGAGCGAGACTCTTGTCTCAAAAACAAATAAAAATAAAAAAACACCCATTCTCCCGTGGGGAGCGGGAGTCTGAACGTCCAAACCTCCCAGGGAAAAGTCCTTCTGAAGAGGCCAGGGCGCATGCGCAGGGCTCGGCCGGCGCCTCCCCTGCAAGAACTACGAGTCCCAGGGTGCTCCGCGGCGCGCGCTGCCCGCCGGGAAAGCGCCTGCGCAAAGAGCGGAATCTCGTCTTCCAGTGCGGAAATGACTCAATTCTCGCGCGCCGGAAGTGGAGTGCCCTCCCCCCCCCTTGACGCGCCGGAAGTCGGCTTTTTCTGGCGCGCCGGGATTGGAATCCTCCCGAAAAGCAGAAAGTCGAGTTGCAATGGCGCGTCGGAAGTGGAAAACAGCCGAAACGCGGAGAGTCGAATTACAGTGGCGGGCCGGAAGTGGAAAATACCGGAAACGCAGAGAGTCGACTAGCTCCGGCGCGCCGGAAGGGAAATCCAGCCGACGCGCAGGCAGTCGACCTACAATGGCGCCCCGGGACTGGAATGATTCCGGCCCGCACAAAGTCGACTTCCTCTGGCGCGGGAAAATCTGAATCCTAACGTCCGGACGGAAGTTGAATCCGTGGGGCCCGCGCACCGGAAGTGGAATAGAGCCGGCGCGCCGGAAGTGGGATGGACCTTTGCCGCCGGAATGGGAATCGCGCCTGCGCGTGGGAAGTTGAAGCATTCGTACGCGCCGGAAGTGGAATACGGGCCGCCCGCCGGAAGTTGACCGAAGCTCGGGCGCCGGAAAGTGGAGTGTAGCGGGCGCGCCGGAAGTGGAGTGTAGCGGGCGCGCCGGAAGTGGAGTCGGGCTCGGGCGCCGGAAGTGGAGGCCAGCGGGCGCGCCGGAAGTGGAGTCGGGCCGCCAGCCCGCGCCGCCGCCGCCGCCGCCATGCCCATGAAGGGCCGCTTCCCGGTGCGCCGCACGCTGCAGTACCTGGGCCAGGGCGGCGTGGTGTTCAAGGACGCCGTGAAGGTCATGACGGTGAACTACAACACGCACGGGGAGCGCGGCGAGGGCGCCAGGTGAGGCGCGGGAGGGGGCGGGGTCACGGAGGACGCCCCGCCCCCTCCGCGTCCCAGGGGTCTTTGCGCGCGAGCGCCGGGGGGTCGGCGTCGACGCGGGGGAAGGTCGCCGGCCCCGTGAGGCACTGCGGCCGGACGGACGGGGGGGGCGGGGGCGCGGTTGTCATGGCAACACACACCCCGTCTCCCCTGCTGTGGTCGGGCCGGAGCGCGGCCCCGGGCGGACGCGGGTGTTGGTGGCGGAAGAGCGAGTCTGTCTGTGGGATTCTGTGGCCGTGACGTCTGACGCGCGCGACGGGCGCTTGCGAGTGACGTGCGAGACCGCGCCTGCGCGTGACGCGCTCGACGGGCGCTTGCGAGTGACGTGCGAGGCCGCGCCTGCGCGTGGCGCGAGCTGGGGGGTGGGCGTGGCGTCGCGGGCTGCGGGCGCGCGCCGCGTGACGTCAGAGCGCCGCGGTCCGGACGTGTCAGAAAGGGGGAAAAAAAAAAAACGAGAAAGATGGCGCGCTCTCTGGTTTTAAAAGAAAAATAGGTGTGTGTGAAAAAGAAAGATAAATGGGAAAATTATATATAAAAAAAAGGAAAATAGGAAGACAATATATAAAAAAAAACAAAAAACAGGGAAATAATATATGAAAAAAAGGGAAAATAGGAAGATAATATATTAAAAAAATAAGTAATATATGAAAAGAAAAGAAAAGCAGGAGGGTAATATATGAAAAAAGCGAAAATAGGGAACTAATATAGGAAAAAAAGAGAAATAGGGAAATAATATATGGTAAAAAAGGAAAAATAGGAAGTTAATATGTTTAAAAAAATAAAAATAGGAAGACAATATATGAAAAAGAAAAATAGGAAAATAATATATGAAAAGAAAAAGAGGGAAATAATATGTGAAAAAAAGGAAAAATAGGAAGATAATATATTTAAAAAGTAAGTAATATATGAAAAGAAAAGAAAAACAGGAAGGAATACCTGAAAAAAACAAAAATAGGGAAATAATATATGAAAAAAAGAGAAATAGGGAAATAATATATGAAAAAAAGAGAAATAAGGAAATAATATATGGAAAAAACAAAAACAGGAAAATAATATATGAAAAAAACAAAAATAGGAAAATAATATGTGAAAAAAGAAAAATAGGGAAATAATATATAAAAAAAACAAAAATAGGGAAACAATATATGGAAAAAAATGGGCAGAGTATTTGAATAAAGAATAAACATGTTACAGAAAAATGACACCGGCTGATGACAAGCACATGAAAGGATGCTCGAGATTAATCATCACGAAAAAGCAAATGAGAACCACAATAAGATATCAGAGCAGGCCAGGTGCGGAGGCTCCCGCCCGTCACCCCGGCGCTCTGGGAGGGAGGCCGAGGCGGGAGGATCGCTCGAGGCCGGGAGTTCGAGGCCGGCCTGAGCAACAGCGAGACCCCGTCTCTCCTAAAACCTGGAGGAAATTCGCCAAAGAACTAAAACTACGCAGAAAAAAAAAAAAAACGAGCCGGGCCCGTATAGTCCCAGCTACTCGGGAGGGAGGCCGAGGCGGGAGGATCGCTCGAGGCCGGGAGTTCGAGGCCGGCCTGAGCAACAGCGAGACCCCGTCTCTCCTAAAACCTGGAGGAAATTCGCCAAAGAACTAAAACTACGCAGAAAAAAAAAAAAAAACGAGCCGGGCCCGTATAGTCCCAGCTACTCGGGAGGGAGGCCGAGGCGGGAGGATCGCTCGAGGCCGGGAGTTCGAGGCCGGCCTGAGCAACAGCGAGACCCCGTCTCTCCTAAAACCTGGAGGAAATTCGCCAAAGAACTAAAACTACGCAGAAAAAAAAAAAAAAACGAGCCGGGCCCGTATAGTCCCAGCTACTCGGGAGGGAGGCCGAGGCGGGAGGATCGCTCGAGGCCGGGAGTTCGAGGCCGGCCTGAGCAACAGCGAGACCCCGTCTCTCCTAAAACCTGGAGGAAATTCGCCAAAGAACTAAAACTACGCAGAAAAAAAAAAAAAAACGAGCCGGGCCCGTATAGTCCCAGCTACTCGGGAGGGAGGCCGAGGCGGGAGGATCGCTCGAGGCCGGGAGTTCGAGGCCGGCCTGAGCAACAGCGAGACCCCGTCTCTCCTAAAACCTGGAGGAAATTCGCCAAAGAACTAAAACTACGCAGAAAAAAAAAAAAAAACGAGCCGGGCCCGTATAGTCCCAGCTACTCGGGAGGGAGGCCGAGGCGGGAGGATCGCTCGAGGCCGGGAGTTCGAGGCCGGCCTGAGCAACAGCGAGACCCCGTCTCTCCTAAAACCTGGAGGAAATTCGCCAAAGAACTAAAACTACGCAGAAAAAAAAAAAAAAACGAGCCGGGCCCGTATAGTCCCAGCTACTCGGGAGGGAGGCCGAGGCGGGAGGATCGCTCGAGGCCGGGAGTTCGAGGCCGGCCTGAGCAACAGCGAGACCCCGTCTCTCCTAAAACCTGGAGGAAATTCGCCAAAGAACTAAAACTACGCAGAAAAAAAAAAAAAAACGAGCCGGGCCCGTATAGTCCCAGCTACTCGGGAGGGAGGCCGAGGCGGGAGGATCGCTCGAGGCCGGGAGTTCGAGGCCGGCCTGAGCAACAGCGAGACCCCGTCTCTCCTAAAACCTGGAGGAAATTCGCCAAAGAACTAAAACTACGCAGAAAAAAAAAAAAAAACGAGCCGGGCCCGTATAGTCCCAGCTACTCGGGAGGGAGGCCGAGGCGGGAGGATCGCTCGAGGCCGGGAGTTCGAGGCCGGCCTGAGCAACAGCGAGACCCCGTCTCTCCTAAAACCTGGAGGAAATTCGCCAAAGAACTAAAACTACGCAGAAAAAAAAAAAAAAACGAGCCGGGCCCGTATAGTCCCAGCTACTCGGGAGGGAGGCCGAGGCGGGAGGATCGCTCGAGGCCGGGAGTTCGAGGCCGGCCTGAGCAACAGCGAGACCCCGTCTCTCCTAAAACCTGGAGGAAATTCGCCAAAGAACTAAAACTACGCAGAAAAAAAAAAAAAAACGAGCCGGGCCCGTATAGTCCCAGCTACTCGGGAGGGAGGCCGAGGCGGGAGGATCGCTCGAGGCCGGGAGTTCGAGGCCGGCCTGAGCAACAGCGAGACCCCGTCTCTCCTAAAACCTGGAGGAAATTCGCCAAAGAACTAAAACTACGCAGAAAAAAAAAAAAAAACGAGCCGGGCCCGTATAGTCCCAGCTACTCGGGAGGGAGGCCGAGGCGGGAGGATCGCTCGAGGCCGGGAGTTCGAGGCCGGCCTGAGCAACAGCGAGACCCCGTCTCTCCTAAAACCTGGAGGAAATTCGCCAAAGAACTAAAACTACGCAGAAAAAAAAAAAAAAACGAGCCGGGCCCGTATAGTCCCAGCTACTCGGGAGGGAGGCCGAGGCGGGAGGCTCATACGCTCAGTCCCGGGAGTCGGAGGCTGCGGTGAGCGAGGCCGAGGCCCCGGGCTGCAGAGCGAGACTCTTGTCTCAAAAAAAAAAAAACAAAAAAAAAACTGACTCCTGGGTTTCCCTTTCTTCCGTCCGGCAGGAAGTTCGTGTTCTTCAACGTCCCTCAGATCCAGTACCGGAACCCCTGGGTGCAGATCATGCTGTTCAAGAACATGACGCCCTCGCCCTTCCTGCGCTTCTACCTGGGTGCGTGAGTGCGGGCTGGGGGTCATCGTGTCCCTCCCCCACCCCCGACACACCTGGGGGACGGGGTCAGAGGTCACTGCCCGCCACTCGTGCCCCAGAAACTCGGGGTCACGCCAGCTCTGCACGGGAGCTCTGCGGCATTTCTGTCCGTCGCCCCCTGTGTTGTCCCCCCGATCGAGGTGACAGGCGTGGCCACCGAGTCCCGGCCTCCTCTTCCTCCTCCCGGCCTCCCCTCCGGTCCCCAGCCTCAACAGCACGGGGCTGCGAGAATCGCCCCAAATTCCGGACTCCCTGTCCACGCCCAGCTTGGCTCACGCTGGTTCTAA